GATAATGTCAGTACTTGAACGATTAGAAGGAGACTACGTTTTGCTGGGCGGAAGTCGAGGCGACCTGCAATAAAGCCACTGTTGTCTCGAAAAAACATACAAGACCGGTTGGCATTTTGTCACAAATACCGCAATTTCTCATCTGATGACTGGGAGAATGTCATGTTTTTGGATGAGTCTACTTTCAATCAATTTTACACTTTCCAACAACACGTTCGTCGTCCAGATGGGAAGAGGAACGACGCCAAATACTGCATTGCTACAGTGAAGCAATGTGCAAAGGTGATGGTGTGGAGTTCCTTTTCATAAGGCAATTTTATGTTAAAAATTTGAGGTGGATTCAAACTTTTGGCCCAGACTGTATATATATATGTATATATATATATATATATATATATATATATATATATATATATATATATATATATATATATATATATATATATATATATATATATATATATTGTATATATATATATATATGTATATATATATGTACATATATATGTATACATATATATATATATATATATATATATATAATATATATATATATATATGTATATATATATATATATATATATATATATATATATATATATATATATATATATATATATATATATATATATATATATATATATATATATATGTATATATATATATATATATATATATAAATATATATAATATATATAATGGAACTAATACAAAACTCATCAAACTAAAATGCTTAGTCTATTTAATTTACCCATTAAAGGGACTACCTAGTCCCGAGACATGTTGTGTTTATATTAAAGAGAATGTTAAAAAAAAATGTCTGAGCAAATTTTTTTTGATTAAAACTTATTAATAAATGTATACCAAGAAAAACAAATCTTTTTGTTTTAGTCGAAGCTTGTCTTCTCCGTTTTCTCTGGTATTTTGAGTATGTAAATTAAACGCGATTTCCAGGCGCATTATACAGAGCTGATAATTAATTCAAGCGCGTTTAATTCATAGGAGTTTTAGAGCATGACGTCATTGGAAACATTCTAGAAATTCTAAAAAAATTTTACTATTAAATTTTACTTAAATAGCTAACTATAGTTACTTATTTTATTAAAAGTTTATTTTATTAATTGTTCCTTAGTTTTTTACAAATCTAACGAACAATTAATTAAACCAAGCACTAAGAAAAGATATAAAAATGAAGAATATACTAATAAAATATATATTTGTAATTAACTTTCAAAATTTTGACAATTTCAAAAAAATATATGATAAAACATTTATTTTTGTAAACAAATGATAATAGTTTAAAAGTTTTACAGCTTGGCTACAGATGTGGCTCCGAGAATGAGCCATAATATTAAAGTAATAGTTCATTTAATAATTGTTTCTTAAAAGAATTAATGCTAGATATCTCAAAACGCAACAAATCGTAAATAATACAATTCCTAAAACATTTCAAAAGAATACTCTAGAACTTTATTTCGCTTAGTCAGCGTATTTTTTTAACCAATAGAATTAGTTTGTTAGCAAATTTGGGTAGTTTTTAGTGTTCGCGAATATTCTTTTTATTCTTCCGCAAGATGTTTTAAGAACATTCAAGTTAATTATGTTTCTATGTATGTCTGTAAAATAAAAATTAATATATATTAATTTTTTAATTTTTAAGCCCCCGCCATAATATATATTGGATGTTATAATGGAAATATAAATAATGAAATAAGATCACCTCAATACCAAAAAATACATTTTTGAAAATCAGAGAAAAAATGCGTTAATAATTTTTATTATTTACAAAGTAAATTAATAAAAGTGCATTATTAATTAGGTTAAAAATTATTTTATCTAATATTTTGAAAGAAAAAAAGAAATCAAAATACACGTGGTCTAGACGATTATTTAAAAAAAGTTGCGCAAATAAAATACTATTTTGTTTTTTATTTTATTTTTGTTTTTAATTTTATTTTGTTTTTAATGTTATTTTGTTTTTAATTTTGTTTTAGAAACACATTATAGAACTTTAAAATATAATAAAAATGAATATGATTTGGAAATTGTATGTAAAAAATAACATGTTTTAAACAAACAAAAAAAAATCTATGACGTCAAGCACTAAAACTCCTATGAATTAAACGCGCTTGAATAAATTATCAACTCTGTATAATGCGCCTGGAAAATCGCGTTTATTTTACATACTCAAAATACCAGAGAAAACGGAGAAGACGAGCTTCGACTAAAACAACAAGATTTGTTTTTCTTGGTATACATTTATTAATTAGTTTTAATCAAAAAAAATTTGCTCAGACGTTTTTTTTTAACATTCTCTTTAATATGAACACAACATGTCTTGGGACTTGGTAGTCCCTTTAAAAAACCATTAAATCTTTGTTTCCAACATTTGTATATATTTTTTATTTATTTAATATGCTTCAAAAGTTATACATTTTTGATAAAAAATTAGTACATAATTATATATATTAAAAAAAAAAAAAATTTATAAATACATTTTTTTTAAAATTAATTAGAAGTGTTTTTTTAGTTCGTTAAAAACTGTTTCGATAATATAAAAGTTATTAAGATCAAAATTATTAAATTATAATGGCTTTTTGATACTTTTTTTTGATACAAAATTTTGTTTACCTTTTGAAATGCATTAACTTTAATTATTCTTATATCTATATTCGTTAAAGACTTTCGCAGTATAGAATGTCATCGTTTATAAAAACAAAACAATTTTTTCTATTTTAATAACATTTATTTTAAAAATGAACACTTAAACAAATTATATGTTATAAAATAAAAAAATATATACAACTGTCAATTATATTTAAAAAAGAAACATTTTCAGTAAATTGTTACTTTATTTAAAATCGTTTCGCTAAACATTTGTTAAGAAGTTTTGATGTATTCATTTCACTTTCGATTGTAAATTCATTCAATTCATTTTAATTCATTCAATTCATTTTAATTGTAATTCATTTTGTTTAAAATCATTTTGCTAAACATTTGTTTAGAAGTTTTGATGTAATTCATTTCACTTTTTTGGAATATTTTTCGTTTTTTTTTTTGTTATTCACCTCCTTGGGCCAAGAAGTCCACTACAGACGAGGAGGCTACTTAATAGTGGTTATAACCCTATCTCAACTCCGAAACACAAACCTTGACAAACAAGGCTGCTCCGCAGAGAAACAAGTTGAGCGCGGTACTACCAGGGACGTGGTGGGGATTGAACTCGGAACCTCTCGCTTATGAAGCAAGTGTTTTACCGCTACACCACTACCGCATTTAGCGCGTCTTTAAAATGTTTTTTGAATTAGTCGATACAAACTTAAGAGCAGAAAATAGCTTTTCTGCACTTGCTTGTGAGATAGGTAATCAAGTGAAAACTCTGCAAGCTTCTTGCATTCTTTGTGGGTATTCATCAATTCCCTCAAAAGCTGAATTCACTTTTGAATGTCCCATTTCTTCCATTAGAACATGCGGCAGTGGTGTAGTGGTAGAGCGCTCGCTTCATAAACGAGTGGTTCCGAGTTCGATCCCCACCACGACCCTGGTAGTACCGGGCTCAACTCGTTTCTCAGCGCAGCGGCCTTGTTTGCCAAGGTTTGTGTTTCGGAGTTATAGAGTTGAGAGAGGGTTATAGCCACATAATAAGTAGCCTCCTCGTTTGTAGTGGCCGTCTCAGCCTTGAGGAGGTAAAGTAAAATTAAAAAAAAAAAAAAAAATTATACTAGTCGCCCAAAAAATTTGTACTAGAAGTATTTTTATCAAAAAAATTAAAAAAAGATGACCAAAGTGTGACCAAAATTAATTTTCAGTCACACTTCTTTTCTTTTTTCTTAACAAGCACTTTTTCAAACTCATCCTCTTATCCATCGCAATTTGATTCACTTAAAACTGAAAGAAGTACTGTAGGTAGCTCAGCAGTATTTCTTATTTCTTGATTTTCTATTATATTCTTGGCATCCCTTTCATAAGTTTATTCTGCTATTGTTTTTAAGCCTTGCTTTGCTTGTAATCTTTATCTACACTGTAATAGTGTGCAAACATCTTAAATGGTACTTAACTAAGTGTATTTGTCTATTATTTTCATAAAATCAAAGCTGGCGGTCTCCAATATACTCTCATTTAATTCTAAAATACATAAAGATGTTGTATATATAAGTTAGAAGCGGAATCACACACGGAACAGAAAAACACAAAACTTACTTACTAGATAAACAGATTTTAATTCCTCGGAAGATATAAAGTTCAGTTGTATACTTTTTTTTGAATAATAATTTAGATATTAGTGAAGAATCCCAAAAAGTTACAGATTGCACTAAATATCATAGAGCCACAGCAATTGTTTAAAGGCAGTGAATAATCACATACAAAAGTCAAACACTAATATCATAAATGCACTGAATATCATAGAGCCAAAGCAGCATTTTGAAGACATGAATAATCACGTACAAAAGTCACACACTAATATCATAAAAGATATTAGTGTGAATATCATGAGAAACAGGCATGAATAATCACATACAAAAGTCACACACTAATATTATAAATGCACTAAATATCATAGAGCTGCAGCAGCAGTTTGAAGGCACAAATAATCACGAAAAAAAGTCACACACAAAAGTTGCATAATTACAAATTTTATGTACTTATTTTTATGAAAATAAATTGCTAGTGAGTTTTTCAAATGAAATATTATATTTCTAAAACTCATAATTTATATACTTTTAATGAGAAACAGTAATCATCGAATATTTTTAGCTAAAGTATGTTAAAAGATTTGAAAATTATTATAAATTTTCAAACTATTGCAGTTTAAATAAGAAAAAAATATATTTTTTTTATTGCTCTTTCAGAAAATCATTATAGTATGCATATTGTTATAAGTCCTGGTTTTTCATTGTTAAAACAAAGAAAAACTAAAAATTGCTCATAAAAGTAAAAATTTCTTTAATGGAGCTTATGCTAAAAACTATATTATATGAAATTTTTAGAATATAACTTACAATGAAACTACCATTGACTGGAAATCTTGCATTATAAATGTGCCACATATATGAGGATGAATTAGTAATTTGTACATAATATGGAGAACTATTCTCGTGATAACTTGTCAATGTCAAATCTAAAAAGTGAAATAAAACACTATATAAAAACTAAATTAAAAAATTATGCATCATTATTCTTCTAAGAGTTATCGTATAATGTAGGCCTTCTAATTGTTATATGTATTATATATATATATCAACCCTCGGAAATAAAAAAAATGAGGTCAGCAATAATTTGCCAACATAAATTTTGAAGAGGTCGGCATCAGGTCTGTAAAAAAAATTGATAGAATGGTCTTACCATAAAACATTAAAACGAGGTTGACAATTTTTTGCCAATATCAGACTCTTTGAGGGGTAATTAAGGGGTAAATATATACATACATATATATATATATATATATATATATATATATTATATATATATATATATATACATATACAGTGCCAAACCTGTAAAAAAATTTTTATATAAATATATATATATATATATATATATATATATATATATAATATATATATATATATATATATATATATATATATATATATATATATATATATATATATATATATATATATATATATATATATATATATACATATATATACATACATATACAGTGCCAAACCTGTAAAAAAAAATTTTTTCTTCTGTGTTCTGTTTGTAATTAATATACAAAGCCAAACCTGTAAAAAAAAATTTTTTTTCCTGTGTTCTGTTTGTAATCAATTAATTTAGAAACTAGAATTTAAATAGTCGCACTAACACAAGCATTTATTAGACTAAAACACCTAAAATCAAATTAACAAACCAAACTTTTTTGTAGACTTATACTACATTCAAAAAGTAAACTAGGGCACATCAGTGAAAAATAAATTAAACAAAATAAATAATATTGAAAAAAAAAATTAAATTTGCAAAGATAAAAAACTACCACTGACGTTATAAATTGTCTTTCTAAAATTATTAATAAAAATTAATGCAGATTGATACAATTTGATATCAATAATTTTAATTCTTCAATTACAGCAGAAATTTTAGACAAACTATTAGAATTTGGAAAAATCCGCACTGAAATACAGAGGACACTATTCGTTAAATGAAACATTGCAAAAAAACTTCACTAAAATAACAATAGTGGAAGAAATCATGCATAAATTTTTTGATGTAACAATGGGAAGTTACGACAGAGCAAAAATTTGTGAATTCATAGGCTTATATATTTTAAATTCATAAGTTAAAATAGTTCATTTTAATTAATTAGGCATGTATGGCAGTGATAGTTAAACAATTACGGAAAAAAAGTCAGGGCCTCAACTTGAAAAAATCAGAAAACTATTATACAAATTTTCAAAAATATTTGCTTCTAAATTAAAACAAATAATTTAAAAATTGCAAATTTTTAAAAATTTAAAATTAATGTTTAGTTCAATTGGAAAACTACAATGTCATATTTAACCTTTGGAAAAATTTTTATAAAGACTATAGAAAACTAAATAAAAATTCTTCTAATGAAAATATTTGATGCTCTTAAAAATGCAGATTTATAGATTTTTAGCTAAAATTTTGAAACATTTAGAAAATTTGAAACATTTGAAAAATTTTGAAACATTTGAAAAATTTTGAAACAAAAGTAGAAATATAAGTTGGATTAAGCCTCTGTACAGCAAAAATGTTTCAACAAATATTGGAAAAGCATTTTTAAAACTATAGACAAACATTTCCCTCCCTCTTAAAAATTGAACAAAATTTTTAACAGAAACACTAATAAAATAAGCTAAGGCTGTACAAAAAAGAATTATGAAAGGCCATGACATTGCATTGAATAACAAAAATATATTTCTTAAAGAAAAAATGCTGAAACATGTATTTACAAGCAAAAAAACTGACTGCCTTATAAATGTTAAATGCTGATTAAAAAATATTCTTTACAATAGCATTGTTTCCTCACATAACAGCCCTAATAAAAATTTAATGGCTTAACAGAGGACAAAAGACAAAAACGTTATACCAACCACAAACAATATTTTAAACAAAAAATACTCAAGAGATTATGCTGTCAAAAGATATTTGGAAACAAAAAAAAAATATTATTATTAACTTAAACTGGTCTATTCTAAAAACTACGCCTGCCTATAATAATATTTCTAAAATATGTATACTGTGTTTACAACAAAAATTTGAAATTATTACTAATTTGGATCAAAAAATATTACTAAACAAAAAATCTGAATTAATTTTTAAATACAGACATAAAAATAAATACCTTTTAATAAGTTATAAAAACAATTGACCAAACTAAAACTTAATTCTAATGAGTTCATAAATAATTTTTTAATTTTTAAATATAATTGATGCGACTCTCAGGTTACAAAATAACTTGATAGACTACTAATTACAAAAAATTTATGGACTACCAATAAGAAAAAAGTTAAGACTTTTAGGTAAGAGAAACAACCATCTTGAACTCGGAGTCCTTAGGTTTAATGGCGGCAAGGACTCCAGGACTCTGGGCCTCAAAGCAATAAGTTTCAAGATATTAAATCTCATGAATATTTTCCTTATAGCAGATCATTCAACAAACATGCTTAGAGCTTCTGGACACTTCAGACTTAGAAAAAGTAGAGATATAAACATGAAGTCCTTATAGGACTCTGCATCCCTGCTATATATATATATATATATATATATATATATATATATATATATATATATATATATATATATATATATATATATATATATATATATATATATATATATATATATATATATATATATATATATATATATATATATATATATATTAAGGTGACTGTTGTCTCAGTTTATTTGTAGAAGAGTTTGGTACTAAACTAATTAAAATTGATTTTATATTTATTATATAAATATATATATATATATTAATATATATATATATATATATATATATATATATATATATATATATATATATATATATATATATATATTATGTATATTACAAAAATATACATAATATATAATATATAATATAATATGCTATAGTAGATATATATTATATATATATATATATATATATATATATATATATATATATATATATATATATATATATATATATATATATATATATATATATATATATATATATATTATATATATATATTGGACAGGAATGGCATGCGATCAAGCACTATTGCTGACCATGCAAATGATTTTATTTCTTGACAACTTGACCACGGTTGTATATATGTTTTGGGTAGATGATTGAATCAAAAACCTATTCTGACGTTTTAAGTTTTGAATAAATTGATGACCTGAAAATATATTGATGTTTTGAATAATTGCGTAGCTCAAAAGACCAAGTATATATTTATAATTTCTTGATGATAAGTAAAAAGTTAGTAGTCTTGTGGTATATAACTTTGCCTTGTCGTCAGGCAACGCGGGATTGATTCCTCTTGAGTGCAGATGTTTTTGTGTGTACTTTTATGTTATATTTTGAAGTTTTTAGCTCTAGTTTTATGTTATGTCTATGATTGTTGTCAATTCGATATGTCAATGATTTTTGTCAATAAAAAGTTAAATTGTTCATAAAATTTAATTTATTTTAAAATATAGGAAGTGTGCACACATAGTCTGACTTAAACATGTAACAATAAGTTTTGAAAAATTTTGATTTTTCTAAAAGTTGGAGTTTTCTTACTTTTAAAATTAAGCTAAAAAAAGTTATCTTGTCAATTGATAATACCTTTGAGTTTTTTTGAGTTTATACCTTTTAAAAAAATGTGTGATTCCTGAATATATTATTTTATTTTAAAATATTTAGTTTTATTTATATTATGTATGTTTTAAACGGTATTTTATGTTTTGAAATATCTGGTTAGATTTAAAGTTTATTTCTAAACATCATTTATTGTAATTGTTTAACTGGTTATATTTTTACTGCATTGTTAAATAGTTCTCAATGACAGGTTCTTACAATCCAATTTGAGTCTCCGTGTTCTGATATTTAATGTGCAACGATATTTATACCATAATATATTGTAATAAGAACACAAAAAAAAAACAGGCAGGGAAATTACATACATCGATTGACTTAATAGAAAAACATGCAGTGTACATACATCTACTTAGGGTTTCGGTTTAGGCAGGCAATAAGTTAAAAAAATAATTTTTATTAAAAAAAGTTTAAAAATATAAAAAAAAAAAAACTATTTGGTATATTCCCATCATAAATTTACACAAAACTTCAAACGCCGGATAGGTAACCCTAACCCTGACCCTAACCCTAACCCTAACCCTGATAAATTATTATTAAAAAGGTTTTTGATTCTATCATCTACCTATGTTTTGATGATTTAAAGATTTCAGAAATGCACTGAATGTAGAAACGCTAAGCTAAACTTTGAAAAAAACTAAAAGAAACAGTAAAAAAAAATTTCTAAAGAAAAAAGAAATAAAAAAGTTCTTTTCGAAAAAGAAATTATATAAGCGCTATTATAAAAATAAAAAATAAAAACTTAAACGCCAAGTGCAACTTTTTTTAACATTTTTAATTGCGTTTAAAATAAATCTTTTTAAACTCTTTATTAAAGATATGCAAAGCGCTTTTAAATTAAAAAATTACTACTAACGATTGTTTAATAAATAAACAATTTTTATATTTTCAAAAAATTTGCAAAAAAAAAATTGTTTAAAAAAATAACATAGTCTTTTTAAAATAGTAATTTTTAGTAATTTCATGCTCTAATTAATGTCTACTTAAAAAAATAGGTTTCTAACTCCTTTTATCGTAAAAATAGGAAATAAATAAATAAAATGCGCCTGCAACTTGAATTAAATAAACTGCCAACAAGAAATTTAATTTAATTTTAATATGAGCATTGTAACTTTATTATTAAGCGCTTCACTTAACAAATTGAAAAAATATTATAAATGATTTCAACTCATTCATTCCAATTGTATTTAGAAATAAATTGTTTTTCAAAAAACAAAATGTTTGTTTAAAAGATTATGAAAAATCGTAAGTTATAAAAACTAAACGTATGCACATTACAAAATGCTTCAAAACTTTTCCATTAATCAACA